CAACAGGAGCCTTCGGTTTTGTTTTTTCATCCCCATTACCCTGGGAATTTGGCAATCGTCTGGAGGTGACTTTAGTTTTCTTACGGCGCACTTTCGGGGAGGGGCATTTTCTTTTTAAGGAACCGTCCATTTCTGAAGGTGCGTGTACCACCGTAGAATCACCTTCATCGGATGAGTCAGAGTCCGATTCTTCAACTGACAAAACCGAAAATTGGTTTGCATCTTGGACGGCTGATGCAGCCTTCAACATTTGAGCATATGTCTGCTTGGAGCGTCCAGAGATTGAACGCTGCACTTTATCGGAGTGCTGTTTGTACATCGGGCACTCCTGCAAGGGGTGAGGATTCTCGCCACAGTAAGCGCATTTTACTGATTCTTTGTGGCAAGAATCCTCTTTGTGGTTTTCACCATATTTGCCACAACGAGTTTTGTTGCCGCAATGCTGGCCGAGTGTCCCAGCCTTTTGCAGTTGGTACAATTATATACCCTCTGTACAAACAGTCGCACCGGAAAAAAAGCACCATCAATTTTAACAAAGTTCGGGAGAACTGAACCAGCGAAAGTCACCCGGAACGAGTCTGAATGTTTATAAACTTTTTTACCGTCTAGCAAAGATGCTGAATGCAGTTGCCTTACATCCAGTATCTTCACTAGCGCGGTAGCGAATGTCGAGTTTTTAAAAGTTCCCGAGGCATGTTTCAAGTCCTCGACAGTCAGACTCGCGTCGGAGACCACGCCTTCTATCTCCACATCTCGAGAAGGGATATAGATGTTATACTCAACACTAAAAAGCTCGTGTTCAGCAATTTTATTTGCCACATCATAAGTCGGTGCTTCTACACGCAGTTTGTTGAATCTTTCTTTGTGTACCAAGATTCCCGGATACTTACGCAGCAAATCTCTCGTTATGTCGAGAGTTTTCAAAGGTTTATTTTTGGGCCAAAAAAAGACAACCCATGGTCCTTTCGAAGACGGTTCATAGTATCTGGTTCGCGTAACGTAGGCATCGGAAGATGCCATAAGTGTTGCGCAAAAGCGGTGCGCAAACACTTAAGAAGGAAAAAAAAATTAAAACCTTCACTAATTAATTAATTTTAATTACTGGTAATTAAATTTTTTGCCCGACGTACGAACAAATCAAAAAGAAAAAAAAATCGAACCAAAAAAAAACAAAAAAAAAACTTATATCTACTTGCAAAAAGTTGTCTCAGTATGACCCATACTCCCCTACCAGGGGTGAGAGACAGAGTCACGCGCCACGAGGCAAAATTAAACTACAATAGGGAGGCAATGGACTTGCAAAATGTATTGTCTAATACTTATGCCGGTTGTAAACAACCTATCAGCCGTTGCAGCTAGATGGTCCGTTTGCTGCTGCTGGTGGTGATGGTTGGTGTTGGTGGGTGAAAAAAAAAATGAAAAAATGGCTTGACGACCGGATGGATTACCGGGGTGAACTAAAGCTGGATGGCAACTCCAAGGGGCTCGGCCCATGGAATTCCACTTCCTCTGTTGCACACTGGTCACTTGGGGCACCCAATGGGGGGGTGAAAAAACCGCTCGGGCGGAAAAAACACCGAAAAAAACTAGATGCCGCGCGACTGAGACCGGGACGTTGTTAACCGACTGAGTGTTCAACTAGGAATGATCTCTCTCATTAAACAGGTATTCCACTAAGACGCCCACATTCATCAGGTTTCATATCTTCCTCTGATTTCACTTCCTTAGGATGTTTCCGAAGTGCCTGGTTCATGATGACCCAGTACTTCTCAATTGGCCACAGTTCCGGTGCATTCAAAGGATTGGGATGTTTCGGCACGAAATACCTCCTTACCCAAGTAACAATTAGGGTTTTATGAGGGTTCTGAAGACCATGATTTAGACTTGTAGAATGCTTTAAAACCAGAATAAAACTTGCAATGTTACTTGTACCACCCCAAAACATCTTTCGAGTTATGCCACAAGGCTAAATCCGGTCAGAAAAGCGTAGGACCATTTTGTGACCTCAGAAATCGAAGTAGACGCTTTTGGAGGCATTCCTTAAGGTATACCTGCCCATTGATCGTCCCAGTTGTCAATAATGGAGTGCTCAAATAATTTATTTTTTGACAAACTGTGTCATCTTCTGCTTTCTGACGTCCTCAAGGACATCGAAGCAGTGAATAACAGGAGCCCCAGAAGCTGCCGGAAGTCTTGTCATCAATAACGGTACAATGCGGTTCTGTCAACATCTGGATGTAGAGCTTCCGTGCAAGTGATTTCCCTACGGTATTATGTCCTTCATCGCGATTTGGTGCCATTTGGACTTTGTATGTGTGTAATCCTTCACATTTTTTTCGCATCTTGCACGAAAGTTTTGCTTAAATGCAGTTTCTTAGCCACATATCGAACTATTTGGATTCCTTTTGAACGCTTGAACAACCCGCTTGTGATCCTTTACACTATACGGAGATCCATTTTGGCGACTTTTTTCCTTTGACTATATGTTTTAGTATTACTTCTACGTGAAGTCAACGATTTACATAGTTGAAGATGCTAATTTCAAATAACAGACTGTAGTGGTAATTTTTATACGATAGATGGAGTAGATGAAAGCATAGAGTTGATAGTTCCGTTAGAGTACACTGCCGTACTGGTCGAAAGGTACAGTAGCAGCACCTACTCCACCCGTGTCCCCTCGAGATCGTCAAGTCGACGATGACAGGAGCACATATCGTGGTAGGGGTAAACAATAGTTGCAATTTCCAAACCTACGACTGGATGCCTTCCTTCAAATAACAACTGAAGTGCGGTAAAAAATCGGTAGAACTGTTTCAAACACACAGTTGGTACTTGACCGGGTCGGTTTTCATCTCTTTTTGCCAGTGGTGGCGGGGGGGGGGAGGACACCCCTCACCATCCCTCTCCAAAGGGGGAGTTGGTAAAGAGAGATGAAAAAACCGATTTGTACCTTCCATAAAAGTTGTCCTAGCTCGCTGTTCTAACATCTATATGCAATCTTCACACTGCCGTACTCTAACGGAACTATCAACTCTATGCTTTCATCTACTCCATCTATCGTATAAAAATTACCACTACAGTCTGTTATTTGAAATTAGCATCTTCGACTTTTTTCCTTCCGATCGATGGTCAAACGTTCGTTGTACCGATGTAAAACACGGCTTACCGTAAATTGTACCATTCCCAGCTTCTTGCTGATGGCACGATGAGAGAGATCCGGATTTTCGAGGCACGTGCGCAAAATTGTTTGCGCCGTTGCTGTTCTTCGGACTCCATCTTCGCAACGATTGTACAGCTGCTATTGAAACTTACACAATGTATGGGTGTCAATGGGTAAAAAGTCCCAGCCATTTGAAAATGATGCAATTTGATTCCGTACACCCTTTAGTTTAAAGTGAAGATTCAAGAGTAAACACAAATCCATTTGATAAAATCATCAAAACATGCTTCAGTTGAGCAACATTCTACTCGAATTCCAAAACTACCTCGTCAGCAAAATCAAAATCATTCAACTGAGCAAACACAAGCTCACAAGTCCTCATATAATTTATTAATTTAAAAAAAATCAAAACTCATTCTACAAATATTTTTTTGAGAAGTCAACTTCCTAAGAAGGGCATGACATAAATAATTTAAGAACCTTTTTTATATTACAATATTTTTTATGGATTTGGAAAGAAAATTATGCTTATTTTCTATACAGTATGGAGTCTGATCCATTATATTGGTAGTTTTATATGCTAGTATGAAATAATCAAATATAAATTCATTTTTTCAATATCAAAGTTTGCTATTTTATATATGTTTAATTCATCATAGGTAAAAATTAAATGAATTTATATTAACATAAATAAGTTGCAGTTGAAAGTCACTTGTCTGTCACAGCTTGGCTATCGGCTTGGATATAGATTTGGAAAATTCCTCTTCAATACTTCAGATTCTTATAGTAATCTGCTTGGAAGTCAATTTGGATAAAATTTTTACTACTGCCATGGCACCTAAGCGCAAAAGAAAAGGGCAACCTCTTTATCCCCCTTTTGATCAAATTAATTTGAGCAAAAGAAATTCCCATTTATTTTCAGCACACAGATCGATAAAAGAAGCTTTTATCTAGCATCTAATACGACAAACACAACAAGAAACCGATTGGTGCTCAAGTTATTAACGAAAGAGAAAGTCGAGAAGAGAATCGATCAATGTTACTTAGGACCAATTTTCAGCTTGATATATCATAACAATTAAGGCTGTAGTAGCTGGAGCACCTAGGTTTAAATGAAATGTAATTTATTTTGAATTTGAAATTAAGTTTAAAAAAAGGAACTAATTTTCTAATTTTAAAATTGAAGCTTAATTTTAGGATTTATTCAATCACCGCCCAATTAAAAAAAATGCAAAATGAATTGTTAATTTTGGAGCTGAATTTCTAAACCATTTATATTAATATTAATGGATTACTGAAAGGAGCAGCAAACATAATTTCGTAGTCCTACGTCAACAATGCGTTCACACTTTTTAGTTTGAGTCCCGCTAATCTGCACGCCATGCAAACTAAAAATTGCGGAACGCAGAATCAAAACAAAACAGCAATTAAGGCTACCAGATGCTCGATATTCTGAAGGACATAGGGTTACTGGAAGATTAAATTAAAAATTGTGGAACGTAGAATCAAAATAAAACAACAAAGAGGGCTACGAAACCAAATGACGTAACATTTATTCACTGTAGGTAGTCTGCAGCAAAACTTCCCCACCCCGATCCTATCGAACCTCGGGTAAGCCACGAGTATTCTTCCCAAATCCTACTAGAATTAAGTGGATGTTGTTACAAACAGTGAATAATTATCGGTTCCGTAAAACTAACACGATTGACCCTTTCAAATAAAAGAATCAGATAAACACAGAATCTGTTGCAAAATTTAAGCATATTTTCGATCATTCTACTGATTTTCTCTAAAGTTAAAAACGGTTTTACCTCGTGTTACAGTATTTTATTTTTTCTAGGAATCTACTGCAAATGTAGATGAATGGAAACGTCAGCTGCATTCATACAAAGAAGAAAACCAACGATTAAAAATTCGTTACCAAGATCTAGAAGCGTCCAAAGATGGTGGTGCTGCTGGTAGTAGTGGTACAAGTTTAGCAGTTGGTAATGCGGACCTAACAAATGAACTCCGTAACGAAATCATTCTTCTAAAAAATAGAATCGAAAATTTGGAAAAAGAGCTAATGAACCAGGAGATCGAACTGAAGGCTGCTAACAAAAGCTTAAAGGATAAACAAAATGATCCGACGGTAAGATGATATTGCTAAATCCGAGAAATTGAAAATAATTTATAGGAAAGTTTGAACATACTGAGAGGTAAGCACATATCATCGGTAAGAGACATGTGTGTGAGAAAATTTGCGAAAAAATCTAATTGCACCCACCGGTGCCCTTAGATTTTTTCGCAAATTTTCTCACACACATGTCTCTTACCGATGATATGTGCTTACCTCTCAGTATGTTCAAACTTTCCTATAAACAATTAAATTGACTGCAAAGTCGCTAAACCGTAAATCAAAAATTGAAAATAATCTATTTTTGTGCAATGTTTGGTTTTTATATTTACGTATATTATATATTTTTTTGTACATACATTTCAATCACAAATCTCTTTGTGATCTCTTTGATTTGCTTGATGTATCCACACAATGCATCCGGGTTTGACAAGTTAAGGCAAAATGTCAGCTAAATATATTTTCTAAGTTTCATATGGACTAAATCCAGATGGAGGCGGTTAAAATGTTCACAAGATTTTCGTTTTTTACCACCCCTCCTCGCTTTGTCACGCTTTTACCCATACCTATTACACGTACTGTAACAAATTATATTATCATAAATGTGCTATTATCAGAACATTGGTGTTTATCGGTATGAAAACAGAAAATCGGTATTATTTTTGCCCTCAATTATTTATGGGTATGGACCACAAAAATTGGTCGAAATACCGATAAACAGGTTTTTTTAAACTTGCATGTCAGTAGAACAATTGACATCTTAAAACCAAAACTACAACTAAATCTTATCTAAGCATAAAGGGAATTAATCGTTACAATGGAGGATTGCAACGATTTTTGCGTGAAATTATTAATTATTTTGTTGGACATTTGTTCTAAAGTCTCAACATTCCAAATACTATGTACCTCGGTAGTATTGTACCAGGGAGGTAACTTAAAAATCATTTTCAGAACTTTTTTCTGAATCCTTTGAAGTGCTTTTTTCCTGGTAGTGCAATAACTAGACCATATGGCACAGCGTAAAGCATGACCAGTCTAAAAACTTGTTTAAATATTAGAAGTTTATTCGTGACGCAAAGTTTGGATTTCCTGTTTATAAGAGGATACAAACGTTTTATAAATTTATAACAATTAGCTTGAATGCCCTTAATGTGATCTTTAAAAGTTAATTTTTTAACTAGTACTAATTCAGGATATTCCACTTGGTAATTGGAACTCCGTTCATAGTGAATACTACTAGGTTTCAAAAACGAACCTCTAGGCTTATGTGGGAATATTTTAAGTTGAGTTTTGGAAGCGTTGGGAGAAATCTTCCATTTTTGTAAATAAGTAGACAACATTTCTTAAATTATCTGCAGTTTGCTGCAAATAACACGAAGACTTCTTCCTTTCGCAGAAATGCCTGTGTCATCGGCGAACAAGGATTTGTGGCTCTGAGGCAAATCAGTGAGGTCTGAAGTGAAAATGTTATACAATATAGGCCCAAGAATACTATCCTGAGGAACTCCTGGTCATCTGCAAAAATCGAGTTCGTATTGATGTGAAGCATCATTCTATTAAAAATTATCTTTTCAAAAAGTTTACTTATTGAAGAAAGTAAACATATTGCTAGAAGCTTCAGCAACATAAAAAACGAACAGCAGATTGTGCGAGCCGCACTGATTTCGTTCGTATTGCTTCTGAGTAGTTCCACACAGATTCGCAAATCGTTTCGGATCGATGTTTTCAGAATTACTTGTTATTTTAAACAGTTGTTTATTACTGTTCCACATGTCATTCTACATATTTGGTTCCCTAGTGTTGTAAACGATTAACACTTGAAAAAGGGATTATGCAAAAATGATACGCATCAATAGAAAAACATATATCTGGCGAACAATTTGTTTGATCGAGATGGTGTCTCGGGCGTATTGGTGTATTGTGCTTATCAAGAAAAATATACACTCTACAAAATTATTTTATTATTTACAAAAAAAAAAATCAAAATTATACATAAAAAAAAATTATATTGCATTTGCATTTTTTATTTTTATTTTATGTATATTGTAGTTTAGATAAAGTGCTACTCACTGGCAATGTGTATTTGCTGGGCAATTCATAAACAAAAAAGTTATGAATCATTGAAAAAAGTACTATTTTCTAAAATACTACCTACAGTTATCGAATATCTCTGAAATGGTGTTATTATTAAAACACATTAAATTTACAACAAAAAGGTCTTAGTGCTTAAATTGCCCAAAGTTGCTATTTTCGAGATACTCGTAGGTTAAAATTTACTTATCGTATAATGTGAGCAACTTTCACCCTTTTGAGATGTTATTCGTGAGTGTCCAGTCTTGAAAATATTGTTAACAAAAAACTCAATTAATTTCCTTAAACTTTGCAGTTCACAGTTTTGCAATAATAACACTTTTTAAAAGATATTCGATAACTGTAGGTAGCATTTTGGAAAACTAGTACTTTTTTCAATAATTCATAACTTTTTTGTTTATAAATTGCCCAGCAAATACATATTGTCAGTGGTGCTACTCACTACAATAGCTTTAGCTTTTGTTTTGTAATAGCTTTTATTAATTAGCTTAACTACAATATAAATATAAAATAATTAAAAAAATGCAATTTGAGTAATTTTAATTTTTTATTTATAATTTAGATTTTATTTTGTAAGTAATAAAACATTTTTTACAATGCATATGTTTTTCTTGAAAGGCACAATACTTGTCCGCAACTTCGCCGGAGACACCATCTCGATCAAACAAATCGTTCGCGAGATATATGTTTTTCTATTGATGTGTATCATTTTTGCATAATCCCTTTTCAAGTGTTAATCGTGTACAAAACTAGGGAACCAAATATGTAAAATGGCATGTTGGACAATAACAAACAGCTGTGCAAAGTTTCAACATAATCGTAGAAGGTCGATCGAAAAATTTAAAAAAAAAACGTCATTTGAAATGGAACTGCTGTTCTATTTTTCTTAGATGAACGCAGAATTGATAAAAACATACAGCTGAGCGTTACATGCATGATTCTGAGTATACTGAGAGTAGTGAACCCAGGCCTGCTGGGGGTTGAGAGGTAATCACGCTTACCACTACACCACTGGCGCCGCTTTCTCCCCAATACTTGTTCCTGTGAACATTCCTTAGATTCGGGGCCTTCTGGAAGTATTATTGATATTATTCCCTTGCTGGAGTACATGATAATTATATACTATGATGTGAATGTGAGGAATCTCCAAAGTACAATTTTCCGACTTTCCTCGCATCGTTTTTCCATTTTCATTTCATGCATACCATTTTCCCGTTATACCGGTACATGGCGAACAAGGCATGGGAAAGAAAAAAAACTGTACTAGGGTAACTAATGATGGTTGGACCTATTTAGGCCGGTTTCACACGACGTCAACATTCATGTCGTATTTTTTTTATGAATTCAACATATAATTATGAAGAATGCGTGATTAGGGGAAAGATCTACCTTTCTTGTTTTCATTAATAACATAAAAAGTTAAATATTATGAACAAATGATTTTATAAAACATTTTTATTTAGCAAAGAATTATGATGTTGGTGGACCTATACTGATCTTGGTTGGACCTAAAAATGATGATGGTTGGACCTATTTTTGCAAATGCTAGTTTAGCCCATATTTGTTCAAAAACTTTGTTAAGAGCTTATTGGTATCATGAAAAAAAACCCTTTTTATACAGTTTTTATAAATTTGCTATTTAAAAAAATCAAGAAATTTGAGTTTAACTTCATTTATAAAAAAGTTCACTTTCCACGCATTAGCTATTCATCATGGCTCATCTTCTCGGAAATCATTGACCCGATTTGGAAATTTTTTAACGTCGAACTATAGATATTGTGATCCCATTGAAAGCTATCGAATAGTTTTGGAATCGGTCAACTGGTTCCGGATATATGGCCGGAACAAGTTCCAGGGTAAATGGAACATGGACCTAATTTTGACATGGAAGGAATAAAACCTATCATGCGACACTTCACATTACTTCCAAATTCGATAACAAGATCAATAACAAAATTGAGTGCCTCGGACCACATTGGCCACTTCTGGGCATGTTCTGGGTGCCCCCGGGGAATTTAGGGGCTTAAAATGACAGAATATCAGAACTTAATTCCGGTTTTAAAGTTTTTTTTCTCCCAGGAATTTTTTTTTTTTTTGAAATAAGCTAGCAATTTTTAGTTTGTTAACATTTTATTTCAAGTTAATTCACACACAGAAGGTGTATGAGAAGTGCTTAATGTAAATTCATATTAACAGATTCTTTCGGCACTTTCATGGTAGTTCGGAAATCGGTGGTTACGCTTTCAGCCAACCGCACGATGGAATTTCTCCTTTAAATTTACGCCTTACTAGTGACGTAAGGTATTTAGCAGCTTTCAAGATCTTTTTGGTCATCTTGAGACTGCCAGAAGCAGCGCACATATAAACCCAATCCCCTAGCTGGTTCTCCAAATCAACACTCAACACTATTTCCCTTCCATGTTTCTTGCCGTGGATTTCCTTAATTTTTGCGTGAAGTGTCGTTTTCGGAATATTGTACCTTTTCTGTGCCTGATACGCGGTAAGTGATTTATTTCTTACTAAAAGAACAGCCTCTTGAAGATTTTCGACCGCATAACTCTTTTCTTTAGCCTTTTTTTCAATCGAAGAAACTGATCACTCGGCCAAAATGAAATTTAATTTCAAATCAGCTGCGCATGAAGGATGTAGACAAACCGGCGCACCTAGCGGCCGTCTTCGGAAACACATAGGTCCAACCATCATCATGCGTAGGTCCAATCATGATCATATTTATCTATTCGAATTTCGTCAAATATTCAAACATTTTAGTGAAACCAGATAAATGGCGTACTAACGTGTTGTTTACACCTTAAAGCAGTATTTTACTGCATGAAAATAAAAATAAATGTAAAAAATATTACTTTTTTGTATGTTTGAAAGTAAGGCATGATGACGAGCTAATGCGTGGAAAGTGAACTGTTTTG